TGCAGGTCACAGAGGAGGAGGGCGGCCCCTGGCCGTGCTTTCTTGGGGCCTTCAGCAGCCCCCAGAAGCCCTGCAAATTCCCCCAGAAATACCGCCCACTCTCCTTTCTGTGGCCTCGCGGACCAGACAAGTGTCCGAAGGGAACAGTGATGGCCACCTCATGCTGGACGCTTCCCTCCAGCAGTGAGACAAGCCAACAAGAAGCTGCGTGGACACAGGTTTCCCTTTCTCCCTCGTTGGCCGTCTTTGAGGCCAGCACACAGGGCAGCCGCCTCGCGGACACCCCTGCTCTCCGGGCCGGAGTGAGGCGTGCTCCGTGCCCCGTCCCGGGCCTGTGACAGGAGACCCCTGACCCCGTGCTCCTGCCCCTGCTCAACGGGAAGCCGTGGAGACGGTGCAGGGCCTCCTCAGCGTCAAGGCCCTTGGCCGCTGGGGCACCGCGGAGTTCACGGAGCAGCATCCGCAACATGAGAGGCCGCCTGCCGACTGCCAACACAGGTCCCCAGGGACCTGACCGCTGAGTCCCCCGGCTTACGGGGTGGTGGCCCGTCCTCCCTGGGAGGGCAGGACATACAGGCAAAGACGCACGGGCCTTCATTAAAGGGGGCCGATGAGGCAGGGCAGGGTCTTGGCAGGAGGTAGGGGCTAGGGGGGCAGGCCAGGGACCGAAAGGAGGGGAATGAGGAGGGAAGGCAAGGCACTGAGGACAGAGGGTGCAGTGGGGTGGCAGCCACCTCCCCTCAGACAGTGGGGCCCGCAGCCCAGGAGGAGGGACGAGCGCGCAACCCCGATGCCCCCACTTCTCGGAGGCCGATGACCTCCCCCCGGCTTGGTAGTGTCCAAGACAACCGGTCTCGTCCCTTGAGTGTGGGAGCTCCCGGCACGCAGTGCCCAGCCACACGGTGCCCAGGAGGGACAGTGGGGCCTCAGGGCTCCCCAGCGACAGGGAGGGCACAGCCCTGCTGGGGCTCGGGCACGGCCAACACTAGCCCCTAACGTCTGTTTACCACAGGGCAGACCTGAGCCTCAGGACCTGCAGGTGAGGGGCGCTGGCACCCGCCGTCCCCCCGGCTGACACGCACACGTCGGGGCGAGGGCCACGTGCGCCCGGCCCGGGTCGCAGGGGGCAGGCGCCATCGCCCCTCGGGGAGAGGCCGAGCAGGGCGCCTGCCGCACGCTCACCCAGGGCACCGGCACGGCCACCACGGGCCAGCGCCCTCTTCTCCAGGCCCCAGGCAGGCGCCCCATGGCCAGGGGGTGCAGCCCGTCCTCCGGGCCCACCTTCTCTCACGCCCCTCACGAGCCCGCCTCGCCTTCCCAGTCTCCCTCTCTGGGGGCCCCAGACATGGACCCCGTGCAGCCCGCCCACCGTCTTCAACACCGCGGCACCCGACGGCCTCAACATTCGCCTCCAGGCTGGCACCTCCGCTGAGCCGGTGTGGGGGAGTCACGGCCGCTGCTCCCCTGCAGGAGGGCCTGGGGTGTCCACGTCTGACCCCGCCGAGGACCCTGCTTCCTCGCTGACTTGGACGTGGGCACTGCGCTCCCAGCGTGTGCCGGCAAGACCCGGGCTCTGGGCTTGCAGGGGCAGGCGAGGCTGCCGCCCTGGGGCCGGGCTCAGCCGGGGGAGGAATCAGAGCCGCTGCCAGGAGGGAGGGGCGGGCGCTCAGGGGCCCCGGACGCGGCGTGTGCACCCCTAGCCGTCCCGTCCAGCTCACGGGGACCTCAGTCCATCCCAGACGGTCAGGCAAACAAGCTCCCAAGAACAGGACGGGGCCCTGGCGTCAACACGCCAGACCAGCAGCTCCTGGGAAGGAATAGACATCCGGCCCTCAGGTTCCAGGCGAAAGCGCCACCAGGCGACCAGCAGCAGAGGCCTGGGGGTGGGGACGCTGCCTGTCTTCTCAGTCCCAAGTAGACCAGACACACCTCCTGCTTCAGTAAATGACCACTCAGCACGGCTCTTGGCAGCAAACAAAATTTGACGTAACCACTCGGAAGCCTACAAGCTGCCCGCCGAGCACCCCCCAGACCAAGGGCTCAGGACAGGAAACGCTGCTTTGACGCCATCTGCTGGTGACAGTGCACATCTGCTGCCTCCAGCCTCCCCGGGTCCTTCGCTGTTCACAGTCCCCGAAAAACGGCACTGCCCCCCGCACCCCCGCCTGGGGCCCGAGCACTTCCAGCTGTAGGTCTCCTCCAGGCACAAGGCCCCCCTCCAAAGCCCCGCCAGACCCGATTCCCTCGAAGCCCCAGCCCCTCCAGGCCACTGAGCCCCCAGGCCGGAAGCCCCACGGGCTGCAGCCCCCACAGGCCCAGAGTCCCCACCCCCGCCACGCTCCTGGGCCTCAGCAAAGCCCCTGTCACGTCCAGGCACCAGGCGCGGTGGCAGGTTCAGCGTCTTTCTGGGAACAGGCCACTATTTTCTGATCCCTATTAATACCCGTGACAGCATTTATGTACAAGATAAATTCATTTCAATTTCCTTTTTCAATTAATGGCCTATTATTTGAACCACACTCAGCTAAAAATATCAATCCAACACCATTAATCTTGTAAAATTAACTTTTCCTCCTTCTGACAGCCCGAGGCCACCAGGCCGGGGCAGGGGGGTGGCTTCTCAGACACAGCGGTGCTCAGCCCGGCCCGGGGCCCGGGGCCCGGGGCCCGGGGTGCAGGCCCCCCAGCAGGGTGTCCCGGCCCGGCAGACGCGGCCCCGTGCGTGACCCACCGAGGGGCAACGGCGGGCATGCGGGCACAGCGCCGCGGGCAGGCGCAGGGTCACGCGGGGTTTCGTCGCGAACGGGCACCCTCCCAGGCAGGAGATGGACAGGATGTGCAATGTGCACCCCCTCCCTGGGCCAGCGACAGGACTGGCTCCAGACGGGCCTGCCACTCGCCGGCCCCCCCACAGCCTCCAACGCCGCCGTCCCCGCTGTCCCACCAGACGCCTCCCAGGAGGAAAGCCAGGCCAGCGGCACCGCTGGACCCGAGGGCGGCTGGCAGTGCCCACGTCCCTGCAGGGCAGGCAAGCCCCCCTCCCCATTTCCTAGACGCTGCCCCACCCTGCGGACGCCAGGACACGCAGCCGCAGGGGCCTCAGACTGGGGCGCGTGCCTCTGCCGTCTCGTCCGCCCAGGAGGCTCCGCGCTGCCCCGCCTCAGGCCCCAACCACACAGCTGGCCGCGTCCCCAGCTAAGGAGCTGTTGCTGTGTTTACAAGGAAGCCATTGCCCGTTCTAACTGTGGGTGTACCGTGGTTTCAGTGGTTTTACGTTGGAAAACCCAGGCACAGAGGAGCGGACTAGAGGTAATACTACCACCAAGTGTGATACTGCAAAACAGAACCGGGCGGCGAGACCCTGCGGGGCAGCGCGGGCGGCAGCCCGCCTCCTCCCCCAGGGCCCGGGGGGGCCGCCGCACAAACGCGTCACCCACGAGGAGGTCCCCATCAGAAGGCTGCCCTGCCATATGCAAACTCTGAATTCTGGGTGTTTAAAATTACTTCCGATTTCCGCTATGGAGTAACTTTTGAGGACCATCCTGATACACGACTACGGGCGAGAACAGTTATTTCCTCATTGAAGTGGCTGAGTCATGGAAACGCGAGCTTTTCAGGTTTTTGTTCTCCATAGCAAATGGAGAAGTGACGTTCTGAGACAAATCTCAAGGGGCAAGTGAGACCCAACAGAGCTCGTGGTCCCGCGGCGCCTCAGCGCTCAGCCGTTTCCCTTCTCAGCCAGGCCGGCACCCCGGGCTGAAGAGGAACGGGACTGTTACCGCAGCGCACACCACGGGACGCACGCGGGGCACGGAGGGCAGGCACGGGGGACGAGGGGACGCGTCGGCGGGGCTGGGGCGGGGGAGCCACAGGCACTGGCCCCCGTGAGGCCGCAGCTTATGGGCACAGGTGCGGGGGTCCCTCCTCTGAGGGCCGATGACCCTCTGTCCCTCTCTGAGGCCTCGGAGCATGCTGGGCGGAGCACCGGCCTGCTGGGCCTGTGGCCTCGGGGGGTCTGCGGAGCCTGGAGGCAAGGCCACCTGGGAGTGTGGTGGGGGCGCTGCCAAGGAGGCACCAGGGACACGGGACCCTGCAGGCGCAGCTGAAGGTGGAGACGTGACTCTGGAGACAGCAAGTGTCTCAGGGATGGAAGGACGCCACCTAAGGGGCACCGAAACCCCGAATTTCAAGACTGAAAACTGACAGGTGCCTCTCGAACCCAAAGGACAAAACTAACTTCTCAGCCCAGGGACGGGGGCGTCCCTGCTCCTGCTGCTCCGTGCACAGGACACGCTGCCCCCATGCCCGGCCCACGGCGCCCACGCCCCCAGCAGCCGGCACACAGCACCCACTGCACACCGAGCACCCGAGAAACAAGGTACACGCTGGCAGACGCCGCCTCGTGGGGCAGACCCACCCAGCAGGCACCCGCCCAGGCGGCGTGACGGAACAGCGGTAAGGCGACACGCCCCTCGGGGACAGAAGGCAGAGGAAACTCGGCTCACGCAGCGGCCCCGGGGCTTCTCTGAAGTCAGGGGCCTGGGACGCTTGTCCTCCAGACCAGCAACCGGCTCCTGAAAACCCGGCCAACGCCTGCCCCTCTGAGAAGCCCCCGCCGCAGCTGCACACCCTGCCGCGGTGCCCCGCACTGGGGCTGCCCCCAGCCGCCCCCTGCCCCCAGACCAAGGGCTCTCGCAGAGGAGGGACAAGGCTCTCCCGGCCCCACAGGGGACTGTCTCTCTCCCCCGTGGCCGGCCCTCAGGAGGCACCCCCGGCTGTGTGGAGGGAGACACCCCTTGACACAGGCCGCCTGGGGCGCCAAGGGCGGGGCCGGGCCCGGGCAAGCCTGCGATGCAGGCCGCGGGCTTGCGCCCCGACCGGTGGCAGCTCCGCTGGCCCCTCCGCTGCAGGCCTGATGGCAGGAAGGGGCAGGGAGTGGGCCTCCATCGCCCGGGGTGAGAAGACGGCCGTGGCGGCGCCCTCAGGGTACAGGCACTCACCGTGAAGTGCTCCTGGGACCTGTAGTTCTCGTCCAGGTAGACGCGCGCCCGATTATACTCCTTCATCGCGTCACTCGACAGCAGCTCCCTGGGAGGAAAAGGGTCCTTTAGTCCCGAGCCACACAGATACCACATCCAGACGGTGGCCTGGACCCCGTGTGTGATATGCCCGCCAGGGTGGGAGGAGGGGAAGAAAGTGGGGAGGAAGGAGGCAGAGGGAGGGGCGGCGGCAAATAAACCCAGGAGAGCCTGTCGCAGGCGCCCTCCCTGTGGTCTCTGAAAACAAGGCTGGGACAGGAGCCTCAGGCACCCAAGGGGCACCCCCTACAGGCACCAGAGCAGGGGCAGGAAGCAGGGGCACTCGCTCACTGGCGGCCACCCCCACTCCAAGACCACAGGAGGGGGCACAGCTGCGCCGGGACAGCTGGCGCGTGGGTCAGGGGAGGGGGAGGAGGGCCTGCAAAGGGCCCAACGGACCCTCAGACCCCGACCCCCAGAGAGAGCGAACCCCCACGTCTCTAAGGAAGGAGCGAGCCTCAGACACACACGGCGCCGAGCACTCCTGCCTCTTCCCCCCAGAAATCGCTGGCCTGTGGAGAAGCAGCACAACACGGCCCGTGAGCTCCAGAAAAGGGATCAACAGAACCAGACGTAGAAAGAACACAAGGGACGGGATTCACTGAAAAAACCTTGATGCAGCTGTTACAGATGCGACCACAGGTTTAAAGGAAGCTGTGAGCATGAGGAAAGACACAGATACGAAAACCACTGAAGAAACTTCCAGAGCTGAAAAACACAGCGTCAGAAGCAGTATCACCAGCAAGACCTAAGACTAGATTAAAACCTAGAGAAGGAAAGATCCTGGAGTAAAAACACGGCACCAGAAACTGTCCAAGAAGGGAAAGGACTGGAAAAAGCCTGAGGGCTGAAGGGCCCGTGTACCCACAAACGGGCCCGAGGACAAAGGGAAGGGCAGGGGGAGAGCACAGCACCCAAAGAAACAACAGACACCCTCCCTCCAAGTCTGACTGAAACTAATCCTAAGCTTGAAAAAGTCCCAGGACCCCAAGCCCAATCAGCGTGGGGAAAATCAGACCAAGTGTGACCTGATCAAGCGGCTGCAGCCCAGCCAGGAGGCCCAGGCCCCGGCGCAGGGCAAAGACCGCCCGCCCAGACCAGTGCAAGGCCGGGGCAAGGGGGCCGCAGCCTCGCAGGGTGAGTGACAGGAGAGGCTGGGATTGTGTTTGCCACAAAGACGCCCTTCAAACAGGAAGCAAAGACCCTCTCTCAGGAAACAAAAGCCGAGAGGATCTGAGGGGCCCGCAGCTGCGCGCAGCACAGAGGCGCACGGGCTGCGGAAGGTGGCGCCCGGTGGGAGCCTGGAGCTCCGCGGGCGCAGGTCGGGGGACCACCAGAGCGGCGCTGACTGTTTAAAGGAGTCAGGCCGATGCGCGTTGTGTGCGAAACCTCTGCCCACAGGACAGGACAGGACAGGACCGCAGGGACAAAAGGTGCCGCGGGGGCCAGGCCGCTGGAGCCGCGGATGAGCCGCCACCTGCGGCTCACCTGCACTCTCTCCGCTGTGAAATGCCCTGTTTTCTGTGACATGCCCTGGTTTCCCAATGGCTGGTTTTCCCTTATTGACACACAGAAGATCTTCACACATCGAACGCCACTTTTGGTCAGTATAGTACATGGCAGCTATTTTTCCCCATGTGTAGCTAAAATGTTACTTTATTTAGAGAGCCTCTGATATATAAAGTTTTAAATTCGAACAAGGTGAAATGTATCAATCTTTCTTTCACAGGTGATATTTCTGCACCTTTTTAAAGAGCTCCCTAGCCACCCGGTGCTATGAGGACCCTGTCCTGCACTTCGAGGTCACGTTTCCTGCTCCCCGCCCCGGAGAGCAGCGGGTGTGACGGGAAGGGGTGTGCAGTTTCACGCTTCCTGCTCCCGCCCCCGCCCGGGGAGGCGGGTGGGCCTGCGCTCACGGGGCAAGGGGCGGAGGGTTCTGGGCCACCCGCCTCACCGCCACCCGGGCGTCTCTGGCGCAGGAAGCGGGGCAGCGGGCCCAGGCGGGGGGAGCCCGGCAGCCGGGCTCGGCCCCCTGCTCGTCCGCGGACACTTCAGCATGAGTTTGTTGGGCGTTAAGAAAACATTTTGATTGGAATTCTCTAAAATTATAGTTTAGGGAAAACACAGCAGTTTTTAAAAATCTGCCCTTTAACAAATTTCCCCACAATTCAAAAACAAGGAGGGATGCTGAGGACCTCCGCAGGGGGTCTGAGGCTGGTGACAGCGGCTGGAGGCACCCCTGGCGGGACGCCAGGCCAGGAGGGCGCAGGGCCCAGCCCCGGACCCGGACCCGGCCGCGGCCCTGCCCCTGCCCCAGCGCCCCAGCGCGGAGGCCTGCGGCGACCCGCCTCAGGAGCCAGGGAGCACCGCCTCTCCACACTCTGCGGGGGGCAGTGGCTGTGCCCAGAGTCTGGGGACGCGGGGCAGGTGGGCAATGCCACATTGTAGGGGGTGTGGAGGACGGACACAGAGGTGCCCAAAGGCAGGGCGGGCACTGGGGCCGGAGGCCGAAGAGGAGCAAGGACAGTGTTCCAGCAGCTGCCAGCACCCGCAGCCGGACCGGGTGCCGCCCGTCGGCTGGGAATCGCGGACGAGAGCGCGCCCCCTGCCCTGCTTCTGCCCACCGCCCAGGCGCCCCCTTCCAGGTCCTTGTGGAGCCTGGGACCCTGCCTCCTCTGTGGAGCCACGAGGCGCAGGCGCAGGTGCGCCGGCCTCTGGCTCCACCTCCCTAACAGCCGAGTCCCCCTTCCCAAAGAGGACAGGGGCTCTGTCCCCGCTCGCTGTGACAGACACAGCTGCGAGCTACTGGATGAGCACCAGCGCTGTCGGCCCGCCCGCACGTCCGTGGCCGCAGGCGGCACCATCCGACCCCACAGGGGTGACCTCCTCGGGTCCCCGCAAGGTCCCCCCGCGCGGGGCTCGCCACCGGGGGCCGGGGGAGTCTGAGTCCCGGCGGCGCTGCCGCTCTGCGGCCCCCCCCCGGGCGGCGCGCTGCTGCACGCGGCACCGCGCCTCTTCTCTCCGGAGCGCTGCGGCTCACCCACGGGCCCCGCCACGGCCACACTGCGCCCACGCTTCCATGGACAGCGGGGGGCATGGCAGGCGCCCTGGACTTACTTGACAAACTTGTCCACGTGCGACATAGAGGCTTCATAGTTCTTCCCTCCAAACTCCTGGCAGTGCAGGGCCATGAAGTGCGGCTTGTGCGTGTGGACGACCTGCGGAGGGAGCACAGGGCAGGGCGGTTGAAATTGGGGCCCCTCAGAGCCCTCATCTTTCCCCGATGACCAGAGGCCCCCGACGCGGCAGAGGACGGAAGCCCGGGCCTGACTGCTGGTCCCACGGGCCGGGCCTCTGCCGGCCGCAGAGACCCTCGTGACCTGAGTTCCGTGCAGCTCCTGAGCCCTGAGGAGGAGCCGCCTCCGGCAGCCTGCCCACAAGACCGGACAGAGGGTCGCGGGCAGACCCCAGCGAGCCCTCAAGGCCTGAGGGGCGCTCGCCACCTTCGCCCCACCTCTGACGATCGGCTCCCCGGATGACCTGAGCCCCAAGGCCCCAGCGTCCTCTAGTGTAGCCCCGCCGCCTGTGCCACCCCGAGGCTCCCCGGAGTCCGGGCTTGGGCACTGGCTTCCCGCTCTCCTGGGCGTCGTCACCCGTGAGAACGGGGCCAGTCTTTCTCTGCTGCCGTTCCTGGCGCCCAGCCTTCAGCTCGGCCGGCGCTGAGCGGGCAGACGCCTTCTGCCCTGTGCCATCACCAGGGGTCGGGCGGGGCTGCAGGGCCCGTCGCTTCTGTGAGGAGGGGCTGGCAGGATGGAAGGCCCACGTCTGCCACGGGGCTTCTGGCAGGGCTGGGTCACAGCACGAGCCCATGTCTGACTCCTGCGGCGGCCACACTGAATGGCTGGGGTGGCCCCCACGAGGGCTCGCTTGGCAGCGGGGTGGCCCCCAGGCCACGTGAGGAGGTGTCGACGGGCACGCGCTCACAGAGCGGACGGGCACGCGCTAGCCCTGTCTCGCAGGAGCACGGGGATAGCGCGTCACCGACGGGGCCACTACTGGGGGGATGAGGTAGCTGTGCCGGGAGAGCTGCCAAGGGGCTTGGCCCGGCCCTGGGGCGCAGCCGGGGGAGGGCCACCCGGGAGCCGGGCGGGACCGGTGAGGGGGCCTCGGGGACTGGAAGGTGGCAGGCGGCAGCGGAGACACACAGGGGCCTGGGGCTCCTGGAGGCTGAGCGGCACTGCCCTCCACGCCCCCGGCCGGCCCGGCACACTGACCACACTCTCCTTCCTCTCACGCCTGCACCTGCCGGCGGCACCCACGTGGCCCCGTCCCTCTCCTCCTGCCTCCCGGGCACTTCCCGACACGGAGCAGCGCCGGCTGGCTCTGAAGGACTCACCGAACCCCTGGAAAGCCACCCCGCACACCCTCCCAGAGGCAGCCCCCTGCGCAAGGAGACCAACACCTGACGCCCCGTCAGTCCCAGGAGCCCGGCCTGGGCCACTGTGTCCAGCACTGCCAGGGCCCAGCGGTCGGCGAGGCCGCGTCTCACTGGCCCTGGGGAGACGGGTTGCCTGGGAACGGGGCTGGGCCGTCCTGGCCGGAAGCCCTCCGTGCTCCGTGAGGGCCATGCTACACAGGGGTCAGCGGGGCCTGCGACCCGCCGTGTGGCCAGGGGGCTCCCAGGGCAGTGGCCACCCCTCTCAGAGGTGGACAGCGGGGCTGGTCCAGCACCAGGAGAGCGATCAGACCTCGCCGTGTCCTCAGCGGTGACAGGGAAACACGACGCCTAACAGGGCGTGTTCTTCAGAAAGGGGGAGGTCCCGCCCTCCCCAGTGCAGCTCAGCGGGCTGGGCGTCGTCCCACAAACCGAAAGTTCAGGGGTTCAGTTCCGGTCAGGCGTGTGCCTGGGTTGTGGGCCGGGTCTCCCGTAGGGGGCCCACGAGAGACAACCGGACGACGTTTCTCTCCCTCTCCTCCTTCCCTTCCCCTCTTTCTAAAAATAAGTAGAATCTTCAACAACAACAACAACAACTACAATAGAAAGGGGGAGAATTCCGACCAGGAAACGTGTTTAGGCCGCGCGGGGCAGCCGGTTCCTCCTGCCCGGCCCGCTTCTCCCAGAGCTGGGTGTGAACAGAAGTCCCCTCAGGCTCCCCCATGTCCTGCTGGACACAGGCCCGGACTGCGTCCGCCGTGACCACCGCCCCCAGGCCCGGGCTGCTGGACACAAGGGCCCGGAGCCGGGCCGCAGGGAGAAGCCCCTGAGGGGACCACCGAGGGCAGAGCAGGCAGGACCCTGGGTGCGCGGCCGGGGAAGGGCGCTGAGGACGGTTGGGAAGCAGGGCCACACGGGGCCTGGGGGACAGGCCCGGGGGCCCGGCGGGAGGCGCCGCAGACGGGACAGCCTGTGCCTGTGGCTGGGGGCCTGGGGGGGCTTGGGGCGCCCCGGGCGCGGCTGCCAAGTGTCAGAGAGTGAGGGTGAGCAGCCACCACTCCTCTTCTTGTGCTGGGAGCGGGGTCAGCTCCTGGGATCTCGCAGCCAGCGCCAGCCTCAGGGCAGGCTCACGCAGAGGGGCCGCGCATACACGCCATGGCCAGCAGGGAAGTCCCACTCTCTCCAGAGCCTGCAGCCGCTGACGCTCTGACCGGACAGACGTGGCAAATAAACGCAGAGAGGACAAAGAAGGAAGCAACAAAGATCGGGGAGCAGCCACAGGGGACGTCGGGGGAACGTCACTGGTCGCCTCCACTGCCCCGGAGGGAGCAGAGCCCCAGTCACCCACAGGGGAGGTCGCAGAGGCCCCGCTGACCGCCCCCGGCGTGAGAACACACTGTGTGGCGTTACAGGTCAATAGCCCTGGCACCTGAGAGATGCGGATAGGCCCTGAGACTCTGGCGCAGTCAGAACGCCTGGGGTCTGAAAACACAGGAAAGCCCCGGGCTCCTCAGCACGTCCACGAGGAAGAGACTGCAGGGCGCACGCACGGTGAGACGCAGCTCTGGAGAGGAAGAGAGACAGGAATGAGGGAGAGGCCACCACGGGCAAGTGGGGACAGGGGAGGAAAGACGGAAGCGGGGAGACGGGCCACTGAGACGGACAGGCCCAGCAGCAGGCCCCTCACGTCCCTGGACTTGGCTGGACGGACAGAAGAGGGTGCTGTTAAGCCAGGAATCCTGTAAAACACTCTAATACCATTAAGATGAACAAAGGAACGTTCAACAAGTTCCTACAAAGCTGTTGCAAAAAGTAGGGAAAAAACTTACACATGTAAACTGAGGAAAAGGCGCCACCCAGAAAAAGAATCGCAAAGCAGAATAGAAGCACCAGCCTAGTAGCAAGCAGAACTAAAGGCAGCCAAACACGCCTCTGAGAAGAGGAAAAGCAAACTAACGCAGAAGTGGGCAGAGGGTGCGTGCTGGCCAAGCCATGGGCAGGACGCGCGAAGCCGACAAACTCATCGCCGAGAAAGGGAACGGGCTGCCGCGTGCTCTTGAGGCGGCCGCGGACAGGCCCTGCACCAGAGAAACAGGCCAGAAAGTACAAATGGCAGAGAGAAAGGGGGCGAGCGGCATGAAGACAGGAGGCAGGCACCGAGCCCCTGCCACCGCACGCCCCGCAGGGAAACGCGGGGGACCAGAGCCAGCACCTCGGGTTACAGTCCGAGAAAACTTCCCAACGGGAGAAAACCTGCGCTCACACAGAGAGGGGGCCCGCGGGGCAGCTGAGGGGCGGCCCAGGCACCGTCGGCTCCAAGCCGCATCCCAGGCAGATCGCGAGACCTCAGGGGGAGGGCGCAACCCTCAAGTCCCCAGGGACAAAGACCGGCTAACATCACAATTTCAAAAAATATATAGACTGGCACTAGGCTTGTTAAAGCCAACATATAAATCAGAGTGGCAATGGAGGAACCTTTTCGAAAACCCCAGTGAAACAAAGTGCAAAACAAGGGTCACCCTGCCAAGTGTCCTCGAATATCAAAGCCATAGAGACACCACCCCCCACACATGGAGCCCTAGGGCACCTGCGCCTGCCAGCCCCCCGAGAGATCTGCGAAACCAGGGCGGGCAGACGCTCCCCACAGATGTCCAGATGAATGTTTGAGGGTTTGCGGCCACAGCATCTCCGTGGCAACAGCTCCACTAGGCCAGCGTGGACACCGCAGCCACGGAGGAAGCCGCCGGCATGGGGGTGGCCATGCGCCAGGCCACAGGCAGAGTGTGGCTTGGGGTGGGGGTGGTTTGCTGACCCCTAATACTGTCTCCTGGGGTTTTCAATGTACACAGACATCGTACATATGCCACATACAAACCGATGTGGCTTTAAGATCCCCACATTGTACGTGATGCGGTCCAGTGCCCATTCAAAGCAGGTGGCAAAACGTTTAGACTCATAGATCAAAAACCGAGAGCAACCACTTAAAAATATTTTTAAAGGGCAAAAAGATAAACAATGAAAATGGATGCACAAAAATGAAACAGTCCAAAAGGAAACAGGGACGGAGGAACAAAAGGACAAAAACCTGGGGGCACAAACGGAGAGCGGCGCTGGAGCGGCAGACCCAGCCCCCCACCTTGGCGCCAGGCCTGCGCCCAGCGGGGGGCAGCTTCGGGGCCCGGGTGGCTATTTAAATCAAGTAAAGTTAACTCCGCCTGAAGTTCAGCACTAGCCACGTTTCAAGCAGTCAACAGCCACACGCAGCCAGTGCTCAGTGCTGAACAGCAGACACCGCACATCCCCTGTCTGAAAAGCCTGTGCAGACCCACAGTGCCGCCCAGACATCCCCAGGACACGAGCTGGAAGCACACACTGCCTGTCCAGAGTTTCAGCAGACAGACACGGGCAGATGTAACGCAGTGACAGAAGACGCAGCGTGCACATGTAAGGCCGAGGAAGGCTGGCGTGACTCCAGTAGAGACGAAGGACTGCAAGGCAAAGAGGACATTTCATAATGACGGTGACAGCTCATCAGGAAGACAGCACCACCCATGTGTGCATGGCTGAAAACAGAAATGCACACACGCATGGCACACAGCATGCACTTGTACACACACGCAGTCGGCCAGTTTGCGGAACAGGGTCGACAGCTCTGAGCTGAAGCCCAGAAACGACTACTGAGCATCGCTCTGCCGAGGCCGCCTCTCCCAGAGGGGCCCTGCGCCGGGCCATCAGCTTGGAAAGACGGGGGAACCGCAGGGACTCTTTCCCGACCACGTGGAA